TCCAACCTATGGCGTGGGGTGGGGGCTGAGATTCTGCCACACTGGGCCGAGAGACCGGGGTGAGGCACTGCCATGCCAGGCTGCGAGACTGCCATGGGCCATTGAGAGACAGGGCCAAGACACTGCTATACTAGATTGAGAAACCGGCACGGGCTGCTGAGAAATGGGGCCAAGACACCACCACGTTGGGCCGAGAGACTGCCATGAGTCGCCGGGAGACTGCCATAGGCCACTAAGAGACCCAGCCGAGAGACGGCCAGAGGCCGAGAGGAGACCTCACCGGGTCTGCGCTGAGGCTGGGTGTGAAGCAAAGAAACACCAGGAGAGAAAAAGAGAGAAAGAAACGAGAAAGAAATGGATGGAGTGGACGACCTCCTGCTGAAGTGTCCTACTCCTGTGCCAATAGGAGGAAAGGAGCAATGTGTGTATCATCTTCTTAATATCACAACAGGGAGTGATACACTACTGTCCACTACAGACAGATAGTTTCGGACAGGGTTTCCCTTTCTTTGAGGTCAGTTTGGCTCAGTTGATTCTCATCTTTAAGTCAGAGGTTTCAAGCTTAAAGCTTGCTCCTGGGCTTGAACACAACATCTAGCTGGTACTTCATATGGCACTGAGAGTGCTGCATTGTTGGAGGTGTCATATTTTAGATCAGCAATTAAGGTCTGATCTATATTTTTATGTGGATGGAGAGATCCTACAACATTATTTATCTAAAGAAAATCATGGGGAGATGGGTGATCTATCAAAATCATGAGTGATAAAGCAGTGTTATTTAATTTTTCTTGATTACAGGGTGGTCAAATGACATTCCAATCATTATATCAAGATCACAAAACTCCACAACAACTTTTTAACCAACTTCTTGTTGCAGTCACTTCATGAAAAATAAATTAATGAAATGGACCCACCCCACGCCATAGATTGGACAGTCCCTGTACTCCTAATCTTATTACGTTGCCTCTTGGTGCATATTGATTTAAATTCATGGTAGCCCAAATCAAATGCCACAGAACCTAGATCTACCAGTTAAATGCTGTTGTGGTGTTCATTTGCTGTTTAGTTAGTTATTCAATTTTCAAACGGTGCTTCTATTGTCAGTTGTAGGATGCTTACCAATTGTCTGGCTGAGATCAAATAAGTCAACATAAACCAAGAGTGAATCAGGGAATGTTTGGGTTTTGGAATCATTGGACTTTCGAGTCATTGAATAGCCAGTTCTTGAATTATTTTGGCAGCTTTGGTATGGCCTTTTGTCAGTTTGAATACCTTTCTTATCAAAGAATGTTCAGAGCTGCTTGTTATCAATTGCAGGGAAGAAGATATGATGTGATAGAATGAGTATTTTTATGACTGTTAACAAGAAGTAATGTTATACACAAAAATATTTATACAGAATAGAATCTCAGGTAGTGCAGTGCAAAAAACATACATAATTTAGGAATCAACTGGATTCTGTAACGGGAGGGGAATCTTCAGAATATTCTGCATTTCTAAATTGTATGCTGATTTTGTTATACTGGAGAGTGTGATTGAATCAATTGAACATGTGAGGATAGAAATTCATCTTGGTCAATGGTGCAAAATGGGCAGTATTGGAGATATTTTCTAATCAACTTGTTCAGAGGTGTTATTAAACACATTTGGAGCAGAAGTTCTGACAGGGTAACTGGACTTGAAATCTTAACTGTTTTTCTCTCTAAAGATGCTTTAGACCTGCTGAGTTTCTCCAGCAATTTTTGTTTTTGTTTCAGATTTATTTGCAATTTTTGTCTTTGTTTTACTTTTAAGGCAAATGAAAGGTTGGCGTTTTTTCAGTCGAAATTGTGTATGTAGGTAGAGATAACACAGTGTGGACGCGGAGGAGCACAGCAGGCCAGGCAGCAACAGAGGAGCGGGAAAGTTGAAGTTTCAGGTCGGGATCCTTCTTCTGAAGATTCTGTTCTGTCAGATAGAATAAGGTAAGATTTTTAATCAGTAAGGGAATCAAAGGTTATAGGAAAAAGGCAGGTAAGTAGAGTTGAGGTTTATCAGATCAACCATGGTCTCATTAAATTGGAGGGCAGTTTCGTTGGGCTGAATAGCTCAATATTTCTTAACAATGTTCTTATCCTTACCTGGTCAAGCCTACATGTGACTCCAAAGCTCCAGTAACATGGTTATCTCTTGACTTCTCTCTATACAATTAGGGATAGACAGTAGATGCTGGACCAAGCAGTTCTGCCCACATTCCCATCAACGAATAAAATAAAAATTAAGGCTGAGCAAGTCGGGAGCTACCAATCCCCTGAATTTTCTTCTTTTACCTCATCCCCTCCTTCAACGTCCTTCTCCGTTGGCCGGCCGAGATGTCGTTCAATCTTACCTCATCAGTCCATATGACTGCGGCATTAGCCACTTTCCTGGCTTTGCCATTGTAGGAGGAGTTATCAGTTGGTTGGAGAGGGAAGCTGTCCCGACAGTGGGTGGATTCTTTCTTACTATTGGTTATGTCGGCTGCCACTCAACTACCACGGCGCCCGTTTATTGGTGAGCCGGGGGAACGTTGACGTCACGGGCGGGATCTGCCCAAACGGTTGGTGCGCGAGCTGCAGTTCGAGAGTTCGAGCGAAGCAGACAATCGTGAAGGACGGAGAGGATTTTTAAAATTTTGGATTAAAAAAAATAAGCAAAGTCCACCTATTTCTATAGATTATAATTCAGGAAGGCGAGAGCGTTCGAAAAAGCCTGAATCGCGGAGGTAAGAGACAGTTTAAAAAACACCTTGTTTTTGGTCGATTTATTAAAGCGGAAAAGGGAGAGAAACCAGGAAGAGAGTCAGACACCGGGTTGGGCCGGCGCGCTCGCCGCAGGCGAGAGGCTCCCGACCCAAAACGTCAACTTTTCTGCTCCTCTGATGCTGCTTGGCTGTGTTCCTCCAGCTCCAACTGTTGTCTCGCCACAGGCAATTTCGTTCTTATCAAATTTAAATATGTTTTCCTTTTTTAAAAAAAAGTTCAGAGGATAACCTTGCCCTATCGACTAACTCTACTGAGGAATTTAAAAACTGCCTTAATCTGCAAAAGAATTGAGTTTTTTTGGAGTTAGTGTGAGCTGGATTGTTAATGCATTTTCGTAATTTTCAAACTCGTGCTAATCAGGCGACAGGTAACATGGAAACCGCCTTTCGCGTTCCAGCCACTATAAAAATGGGCTTGGCTTCCGCTTCTTCGGTTGTATGAACTCCCTGCCTCCTCTTAAAAAAAATCAAATGTGATTTTCTCTGAGTCCAAAATCCCCCCTCCTAAAATAATTAGTTGGTAAGATTGCAATTAAAATGATTACATCTCTGGAACGTGGAATGCTGGTGAGAGGCATTTCATTGATTTAATATAGAGCAGAATAATCAACTCTATGTCCTATAAAAAATATTTTTGGTATCATTTAACTTGCATAATTATGTTCTGTTCCAGGACAGTAGTGAAAAGCTGCTTTTATGAAGTTAAAATAAAACTTTGAATTCTCCTCATTCTTCAAAATTCGATCTTTCCCCAAGTGCCCATCCCATTATCATTAAAATTGTCAGCACCCTAAGGACAGTAATTGACTTTCTTGTTTCTGACAAGTGAAAATTACGGTATGAAATGTTACTGTTATAACATCTAACAATTCATTCCAAAATTGAATGCATAAGGAAATTATGAAAATGTAGGTTATATAATTCATGTTTAAGTAAAGCAGAAAGTTACATTTAAAGAAAGCACACTTATGCACCTAGAATATAGCTGGGAAGTAATGCACCACTTTTGAATACTTCTTTTAAAGTGGTTAGATTTTTGTTTAAAAAAAATGTTAATTGGATAAATTACAATCCCCAAATTTGGAGATGATGGTTTAAAAGGAAGAAGTTTAGATAGTGTACAACTTATTTACCTGAAAGTACTGCAAATGAGTTCATTAAACTGCTTTGCCATGATAGCTCTTTACCTTCTGAAGATCCTTAGGGCTTCAGTGCATGAACCAAAGCCCCACCCAGTTCGAAGTGTAAAACTGTGTAATGTAAGTCAAGAATGACTCATGGACAAGTGTGCTGATAACTTACAAAAGCCTTCCCGTTAGCTGGCTAGTAACTTTTCTGGAATTTGGAAACGTTACTGCTTTAAAATGCCTGGTAGCTTATACTGCCTACTAGTGAAGGATGCATTTTTACAGAGGTTAAGAATATCAAAACAAGCTTGAATATTTCCAAAATGCCTATTGTGTTGTTTTTCTTCTGATACTATGAATAATACAGCAGTGAAATGCTTGCTGAGGATCACTTGCCTCATGCTTTTGTTTCCAGTAATGTGAAATGGAACAAGCTTTTCTTCCATAAAATTTACGTTCACCTAAACTTCTGTTGCTCATGTTCTATGCTTAACTTTTGCTCACCTATCACTGTTGAACTATTTTGACTTCTGGTTTTGCAATGTTTTGATTTTAAAATTATCATCTTTATTTTTGAGTCCAT